GCACGTTGATCATCATGCAGTCCGAGGTACAATGCCGTGAAGCAGCAACTTCAGGAGCACTTCTCGTTTCGAGAGTGGAAGGAAGAAGAACCCATCCTGGAGTACTGTGGCTGCGAAATTGAGAAGACAGAGGCTGGCGGTCGCAAGCTTCATCAGACCAAGTATCTCGAGAAGGTCACCCCGATCTCCTACGACAAGAAGAGAGGCACACACGAAAGTCTGCGTGAGAGAGAGATCACTCAACTACGGGGCCTTCTTGGAAGTTTGCAATGGCCAGCGGTTCAGACCTCACCGCATTTGCAGTGCAGCACGTCTCAACTTGCTGCTCACGTGAACCATGGCACCGTGCAAACGCTGGCCGACTGCAACCGGCTGCTGAAGTTCGCAAAAGAACACAAAGATGCAGGCCTGTGTTACAACCACTTGGGCCCTGCAGAGCAGCTGAGGTTGGTGTGCTTCTTCGATGCTGGTTTCTCCTCCCGAGCGGACGGAACGTCCCAAGGTGGCTACATCGTGATGCTCATCCACGAGCACCTCCTGAGCTCATCAGAGGAGGGGGACTACCATGTGATAGACTGGCGGTCCTTCAAAACACCCAGAGTGTCACGCTCTTCGTTGGGAGCTGAAGCCCAAGCTGGTGGACAAGCCAGCGATGCAGTGGATTTCATTTGTAGGTACTGGCATCACCTTCTTGAACCAGACCTACCACTGCGAGATCTCCTCCAGGCCACTTCAACGCTGAGGCCGGTCGTCATCACCGACGCGAAGGCGCTCTATGACTCCTACCACAGGGAGGGAACCACGTCCTCAGTTGTTGATAGAAGGGTCTCACTCGAGATTCGGGTGATGAAGGAGCGGCTGCAGGAGCTTGGTGGCATTCTGAAGTGGGTCAGCTCTGATCGGCAAATCGCCGACGGGCTTACGAAGGAGGCAGCTCGATCGTTGATGGCCCTACGCATCAAGCACCATCGCTTGAAGCTGACCTGGGATCCTGAATACAAGGCCATGAAGAAAAAGAGCGCCACCGAGAAGATCACCGCCCTGAAGGAAACAACGGCGAGCACTCCCTTGGTGCACTGGCAGCGCGAGAACAATGACATGGACACTGAGGAGGTTCCAAAGCTCGATGAAGGAATCCCTAATGAGTATGTCAACATGGTCACCACCGAGCATGTGATTGTGTATGCCTTCGCCTCAAGCCATGTCGGCTGCCGCCGCCAGAAGTATAACACTCAGTGTCGCATCAAGAATGTCATGGTTTGGGTACTTTGGCTGATGATGCTGCAGACCTGTGGGGCAACTGGTGATCAATGTGAAGAGCGACCATCTCCCTCCAAAGGAGACATCGCACCGCCCAAAGAGCCAGTGGTGAATGATGATGACAATTGGTTTCTCCCTGCACTTCTTTTGGTACAAGTGCTTCTTTTTGCTGTCATCTTCCTTTGTGGCTTTGTCAGTGGCCGACGAGGAAGCTCCACTCCGTTGCCGACACCACCACCGGCAACCTCAGAAGCTTCAACACAGAAGGACGAACTGATCGTCTATTCCCGGCTGCGTGAACAACTCCAGCTAGAACAGCAGCGCAGCTCAGAGTACCGAGACGCGGCACTCGAGGCCAGACGGGCCATTGAGCTCAACTTGGAAGAGCGCAATGCATGGTTCAGCGAAAGGCAACACCTCTTCACCATGCTCAGCTCTGCCCAAAGTTTGCTGCAAAGGTGTGAGAATGGCATCGGTTCCCACATGAGTGTTAGCCCTACTACACGACCGGTCATCGCATCCAAGACCGGAGTAGCTTGGCACTACGAGCACTGCCAGACGGCGCCCCAGATCAACGAGAGAAATCGGTTGGTCCTGCGCCATTGCTCGTTTTGTGGAGATCCAAGGTCACCACTGGATTTTCCCAATTCCTCACCATCAGCGGGTGGGGGAAGCTTGCGAACCGACATGCAGGCTTGGTTCATGGCTTTCCAAGCCTTAGCGTACTGAAGATCACCACCGATGTGAGTTCAGACGCTGTCGAACTAGGTTGACAGACTTTGCTCGACCGCAGGGCGGGCTTAAGATGCCAGAAAAGGCGCGCGGCCGTGGTCACTTCGGTGACCTTCCAATTCGCTTGTGTTTGATCCTTTGGTTCACTCACTCTACACGTAGTTCTTCGGACACTAGCTCTGTTTTGACAGTAAGTATGGTTTTGAATATAGAAAGCGGACAAGGATATGGACGAACCTGAAGAGTTGGACACCCAGACCCTTATGTAAATAAGACTGTAATAGCATTGTAGGGAACAGACACAAAGAGACCGCACAGAGACTACCGCGTAAAGGTAGATGGGAGGAACAAAGGAAGAAGACACAGGATGAACTATACGGAATACCGGAAGAACTTATTTATGACATCATCTCAAACCTTTAGTATCTCGTGGCGAAGGAAGGGTTTAGTCAATCCTTCCAGATTGAAGGTTCTGTCTCCCGTCGTGTCGTATTCTATCTTCCTGACTATTTGTAGTTTTCTTTAGACCATTTGCTGGTTGTCTCTTTCCTATCCGTATAGTTGCCTCTTCGCTTGGTGAAGATTTTGACCGTGTCGTTCTCCTTTATCTCTACATACTTCCTCGTGTTCTTTTCTCTTCTTGTTAGATTTACTTTAACATCCATGTGGTTCTTGTCATCGTGCGCTTGGTTGGGTGATAGTTTTGTAGATGAGTGTTCGGTGCTGTTATATTTCTTCAACACGTGTGGAAGCATACTCGTCCATCCTGCCTTATTAAATCTGACCCTGTAATAATGTCCTGATGAAGCGTTCCACAACACTAAAATGTGTTAGTGTGATGATGTGATTGATGCCTTCAGCGTCAAAGAACTCTAGATGCCAACGCTCTTGAAAGCACCCTCATCATCGGAATAGGTTGACATACAATAACCCATCTTCTTAAAACTCTCTTTCAACGCTGGTAGATGCTCCATCTTTGTTTTTCATAGGCACAGCGTTTGCCAACTTGCTAAAGATGTCTATGACAACTAAAGCATACCTCGGTTCAGTGTTCTTTCTGGGTATTTTTACTTCTGGTTCTTTGGTAAGGGGCACCATATCCATAATATCAATCTGATATTCAAACCTTGAGAAAGGGGCGGTATATGAGTTTGAACCTCTAGAACCTCTAATCTGTTTGTTGGGCTGTTTCTTCATGAAGGTTTCTACATCCACTCTCGTTATGGACGGGTCTTGCTCCTTCGCTTGTTTTAGTGTGTCTTGGATTGACCCGAAACCCTTTTCTAAATCGTAATAGACGTTGCCTATTATCTGTTCTTTTGTTAATATTCTTGCCATATTATACTATTAGATTTTAATATATGTCTTCAAAAAATAGAATACCAACCCGAACTTCCCGAACCCGAAAAATGAACAAGGCGCCAAAAGCTACTTAAATAAAACATAACTATATATATATATTAAGAGATGCTTTTTAATTATGAAAAGTGTATGGGTTGTAGAAATGAAAGTGCCGACGTCAAGGTTTTATTGAACAACATGTTCCCCGCTGGTATTTGTGATATGATATGTGATTACAACCTCCACTGTTTCAAATATAGTATGTTAAACTTCAAGGAAAAGGATTACATCAAAATTACCTATGACAGATATACAACAGTGGAAAAGCAAATAGATTTCTTCCAAACAGAGATGCCGACACCCATCTATGTAAGCGACAGTAACCGAACAAATGTTAGAGCGATGAGAAGGGAAATAGATGTGTTGATGGGCACAATGGCACTGAAGGAAAGGTTTAAGCATAATAAACTATATCTACAGGCAATTAAACCTTATGTAAAGAAGAACTGGAAATATACGTATCACATCCTCTATTACTTTCACGACCTTGATTTTATTACTTCGGCAATGAAGACAATACGAGCTTGGTGGTTTCCCGACCTTGAAGGTTATATTTATTGTAGAAACCGACCATTCAAAATAGAAGACATCTTGGAAATCTTCTTGCGTGAATACCTTAAAGAACTCTACATCAACGAAGCAGAAATAGAAGAGCACCTACAACAAATTATAAACACGTAAGTCCCATAAACCTTTTAACGATATATCACTTTATATATTATAGTCCAATGACTGACAATATGAAAAAGATATGCTCAAAATGTAGAAAACTAAAGTTGATGGAAGACTATGATGAAGGCAACGCACTATGTAAGAAATGTAGTGAATATAAACAGCAATACAGAGAAAACCGTAGAGAAGAACTACGGTTCAAAGCAAAGGAACAAACACAAAGAAAAAGTTGAATGTCCTATTTGTAGGATTGAGGTAGGGAGAAACAAAATGGCAAGACACGAACGAAGCAAACGACATCAAAGCAATCTGACCAACACAAAAGACACCAAACAAGAACCAGAACCTAAAAACATTGAAAAGAAAAAGAACGAGTAAGAAGACAACAATACCTTTCCTTCATACCAGGAACTCGGAGCATAACTACAACCCATAAAATGTTACAACCTATAACCACAGCATAATTACAACCCATAACCCAGACCTAGAAGTAAAACACAATAGCAACAACAATCATCCACCTCATCCAAAACCAAAAGCCCCATGCAAAGTTAGAACACCCAAAACCCCAGAACCCCACACACATAAAACATCAACAGCAAGGAAAACACATTGAACATCAACAAAACATCATAACAAGCAACACACCAACAAATCCTCCCCAGAACACCCCTTTTAGCATGTGTTTAGGGGGGCATGGGCACTTTCAGCCGAATCAATGGCGCAGAGTTTGGCATCTTGCATCGGAACTATGTGCGAACTACAAGCCCTACCAGGGCTTCGTGAAATTCAGCAAGTTTGGATTATGTTTTCATCCTGGGATCACAGGATGGGTTCTATACCCCCGTAAACCGGTGGATTGGCATGCCTGATCACCAAGAAGCACCGCCGTAGGCGGGTCTCTTGTTAGTATGAACTTTCTCGTGGCTCCTCAGGTCATCACCTTCGCCTAGTTTGTGAATCGGACCCGCCTCGTCACAAAGATGTTGCGGAAGATCTCGCCTCGTCACATCGGTTCGTCTCGCCCGGTGGCAACTGGGGTGTCAAGTGGCATGGCAACTGCCCTCCCAAGTTGAAGCAATCCACAAGAACAGCAACACAGGGTGTTCCTTTGTGATTTGTGCCAGGAAGTGTCTCCAGAGGATCCATCTTTTGGAGCTTCCAAACGAGTCAGCTGTGGCCATTCTGTCACTTGCAGTGGCCATTCTTGGGATCCCTGTGCTCACTGCCCAACTTATGATTCTTGAAGCTATTTGACCATGACACAAAGTTTAGCGGGGGTATCAAACAAAACAACACCATGGGGTGGTGAATTTTGGAGCCGGTCCAGCGCCACAGCCCTTGCCACCAGGCGGGGCGTCCCGCCCGTCTCGCCGCGCCGGTCTCGCCGGTGCACCGGGCCGTGACTCCTTGGACGAAGAGCGAACTCTTCGTCCCGCAGTGGTGGGTGAGATGGCAGAAGAGCACCGAAGAGCTCATGCAATTGGGCGTGTATTGAGTTGATTTGGGAGACCCGGCTATGTTCCAAACCTTCCAGGAGGTCGAAACGCCTGGGCTTCCGATTTAAATGTATGTCCATGTATGCCCATTGGTTTTAGAGGGAGGACCTGGCCTTTCTGTATTTTCCTTCTTGCAGGGATTCCAACTGGGAAGTTGCCCAATTTGCAGCGAGGAAGGAATGCAAACATGCACATAGCAATGTCAATGTTTGATTGCAAGTTTGGGGTTAGACAAGCACCCGAATGAGACTTGGTTATATTTTCAAGGTTGATATGTTTCGAACGCTCCCAATGAAACAAACGCAAACACACATTGCTTGTATTGGCATGAGTCATAGCAAAACGTTTGTTGAGGATCCAGTCAACAAAGTCTCCTATTTGGAGTTGTTGCGCATTATTGGTTCAAGTCCTGCCAGAAGTAGAACAATCCCACTTCAAATCTGTTTGCAAATGGGCTTCTATTTTTGTTCACGTGCCGCATGCTTGTGTCGCGATAGACTCTTGACGCAAAAGCTTCTTCGTTCACGGCCACCGCTGCAGAATTCGCTGCATGCGAGCGATGGAAGTCGCTTTCTTGAATACAGCTCTTCAGTCTCGGTCTTTTGGATTGCAGGCCCAGGCTGCCAAAGTCTAATTCCACACGGACTAAAGCGGGCTCCCGGGTTGTCGATCGGTTTAATTTTCAGTGCTGCACGGACTTCACGATTGGGAAAGCATTGAGAAGCTTTGTTCATACCCCAATGAGGTGTCTTTTGGTTTTAAAATATATATATATATATATTCCGATCAGAGTCGGCCATGCACAGGATTATCGGGTTCTGTTTTGGAGACCTCAATCGCCTGTCCCTCTCCCTTTGCACGCATGGTCGCATGGTGTTACCGTAAAACTGAAGTTATAAATAGAACAACACGGGTTAATTACTGTAGGTTCATGCCATTTTGCTGCAAACCCCGATTTTGGACCAATTCCATTGCTTTGAAGCTGCCTAGCATACGTAGCAACAGAAGAAAAACTGTTTGTGCAGGGAAAACTCGATGCGACAAGGTTCTGGAACGTCCTCCAGTGCTTGGAGCGTGGCAGTCCAAAACTTTGTGTCACTCACCAGTCAGACCACAACGCTGACCGAGAAGGGAGCGCGAAAAGGAGCGAAACACGTCGACACGTCATTCGAACGTGGTGTGGTTTGGCGCCCGCCCGAGTTCTGCGACTTCCTGCGAGTTCTGCCACCTCCGCGCGATCTGGAGGCTTCAGTGCTTCAGCGCCACGCACTGCGATCGGCTCTGGCAAGCTGGAGAGATGACGACGGTTGGTGACCCCAACAAGCGCCCTGAATCGTCGCCGAATCCCCCCCAAGGCCCAATTGGTTCGCTGACATCTGCCCACGTTCATGTTGCGCCACTGAAACCTCTCACTGGTGAGCCGCGCCACGTACTGGAGAAGATTGATTACTGAGAACGAAGGCGACGGTAGACAGTCTCAGATCCAGATAGCTGGCTACTACTACTTTTGTAGAGAAGGTTCTACTCTACTCTTTCGAAGGCTTTGGACGATTTCTATCTCACAGAAAGTGAATCTAGCTATTTCATGCTATTTCTTCATGGCAATAATACATAATATTGCTGTACTTTCAGATGTTTGAAAACAGTGTGCACTGCCCCATGCCTGTCAGTTGCTTTGACCTGGAAGTAAAAACACCGAGACTCTTGAAATCTGTAGAGTGTGTATTGCGATGTGAAAGCCACCACGTAGAAAGCTTGTGAGAGGGAGAAGTCTTCCAAAAACCCATCAACCCATCCTGGGTGACCTCCTGACCTCCTGTACCCAGCTGGCTCAGGTCCCAACTCTCCATTTCCATTGTGGAACGTCACTTGCACCGTACAGGAACCTCCTTCCTTTTCCCGCCTTCCAGCCTTCCTTCCTCCTTCGTCTTGCTTTGCGTCGCGAACACTTGTTTTGTGTGGCTTATAATTTGCTCGTAGCTCTGGTTCGTTTTCCACTCCTGCCACGATTGGCATGCGTGATGCCTCCTGAAGTAGATGTCCACTGCCACACGCAGCATTACTCCGGGCTGGTGAGTCTGGGAAAAATCTGAAAAGTTAGCTTGACGGGCTGTTGTCATACATCTTCCATCCAATGTTCACTCACGACTTGGCGCTGGTTTCCGTGGTTTGCCAGGGTGTCAGATATGTCAGTCATTTGGTTTCCTTCCAAGAATACCAAACCTGCCAAAGGGCACGTTCAACACAGGTGCCAATTGACTGCGGGTGCAATCACAATAGCACACCAATCACGCTGATCAGCTCTTCAGCTGCGCTTGTGCTTGGCTTGCGCCGTGCCGGGTGCTGTCGACCCTGGTCAGTGCGTCACGTGCACGATCCAATAGATTTAAAGGCCATTGTGCTCTGATTCTGGAGTGCTGTGATGCTTGTATAAGGAGACGGTGGCCTGTGTTTCAATTTGGACGGCTTGACATATGATTTACATAATAAACCTCGTTACCATTTCCACTATGAAATGCAGGGCCTTAAGGTCCCTATTTAAAAACAAAACAAAAAGAACACAGACACACACATGTAGTAAAATCCGTTTTGGAGCATGTCCGAGCATTTTGTAGAGACCCATTTTGTAGTGGAAATTAGTGATCTGGAGGTCTGGAAGGCCTTTTGTAAGACAGGACTTCTGAGCTCAAGCAGAGGTATGCACCCCATTCTGTAGTAAAATCCACTGGTTTTGACAAGCTTCAGGTGCTGAGGTATGGAGCCCATGTTGTAGAGGAATGCTGTGTTTGTTGAGGAGTAACCGAAAGAGCGCCAGATAGAAAATGATAGAAAGCGTCAAACACTGGCCGCGCCACCCAACGCTGTTGTCAAGAAAGTGTGGGCTCCTCCGGGTCTAATAATTGATAGTTCAATTCAACCCCCCCCCTTTGAATTGATGTTTCCCCGGATACAGTAGCTGCAGGCTATAGGGGTTCTAACTTCTCAATGATGTGGCTCTGGACTGCTGCCGTGCTGATGCAGGTGCAGGTGCTGGCTCTGGATCGGCGTTTTGGTTTGCAGGTGCTGCTGCCGTGCTGATGCAGGTGCAGGTGCTGGCTGTGGATCGCCGTTTTGGTTTTGCGCGTGCATGCTGCCGTGCTGATGCTGGCACATGTGCAGGTGCTGGCTTTGGATCTCGTGTTGATTTTGCAGGCATTGCTGCCATGTGCAGGCGCAGGTATGGTGCAGGTGCTGTCTCTGGATCGGCGTTTTGGCTTTGCCGCTTCTGCTGCCGTGCTGATGCCGGCGCTGGTTTTGGATCCGAGTATCGTTTTGCGGGCGTTGCGGACGTGCCAGCGCTGGTGCTGGGGTGGCCGAAGCTGGTGCCGTGCTGGTGCTGGCGCAGGAGCTGACATCATGACAGGCGTGACATCATGTCATCCCTGATGCCCAGAAGACATCATGGCATGCCGAGGGACGAGCTAGGTATGACACCATGTCATGCCAGGGAAGACATCTTCTCTTGCCAAGGGTGACCATGTCACGAAAGGTAGCGGTTACGCTACCTGAGTTTTCCCTGTGCTTTCGCAAAAATGAATTATAACCAGAGTGGAGGCCTGTCTCACAGAGAGTCGCCCTCCGACATTTCATTTTAGAGGCTGGGCCCCCCCCCCTTTCAATTCCACCCTGGCACGGCTCTTTGTCAACGGCTAGAAAACACCGTAAGGACTAGTGTTTTCAGCTCCTCCAGTCTGCAAGAGTCTCAATCCACGCAATTTACGGGGTTTTCTGTGGCGGTCCGGCCAAAAACCTCGTAAAAGCCGATGGTCGAAAAAGTTACCAAAAAGCTGGTAATATTTTGTTGGATTTTTTCTTTCGGCTTTTGGGGGCTTCAACATGGCTCAAAAAGATGGTGTTTACACGGGTTTGTGCACCTTCCCGGCACAAAACCCCGTAAATTCGGATGGTTTTGGGCTATGTACGCTTCAAAGTGGCCACAAACACCGTAAATACAAATGGTTTTAGCCGCTCCAGTCTTCAAGAGTGGCCTCAAACCACGCTATTTACAGTGTTTTTTTTGGGGGGGTGGCGGTTCAGGAGAGAAACGCATAAAAACCGATTGTTTTTGAAGTGTCTAGGCTTCAAAAATGGTCGGGACAGATTGTGTCGGAAAGTTTTTTTTCCCTCTCCGGTTTTTGGAGCTTTCAACTGGCCAAACAGGACGGTAGTCTGGAAAGTCCCGGATTACTTCTGATTCCCTGCTACCTTTCGTTCACCTCCTCCTCTCTCAAGTCGTTTGGGCAGCTTTGGCTGGTCCTTGCCGACCTTGGATGGGCAAAGCGGGAGCATTCAGGTGATAGATGTTCCGCATATTGGTGCACTGGTCTGATGTTCCGCGCTGCGGTGACAGCTGTCCGTGGCGTGTCTTTTAAACCCATACACCTGCCTTCTGGGGCCTATGCCGGTTGGATCCGGTTGGCGCTCTCGGGGCCTTCTGCCCCGAGCCGCCTGCCTCCGCGCGCTTGAGGGCGCGTCCTCCCTTTAGTGTAGGTAGCGCGTGCGGCACCTGCCACCTCATCAGCGTGCAGGGGAAAACAATTCAAAAAAAATATTACAGCCCACCCCCCGTGGCATGGATTTCTCAGTACAGACACCCCTCACTACGGGTCGTTTTGTTTTGCTAGCACATCGATCTTTATCGTGTTTGTATGTTTTTTATGTATCAACGGCGTTTCCGATGTGCATCATTTCATACAGTGCGCGGACCGTTCTGTTCTTGGAGGTCGTATATGCTGCGGGCTCTGCGTTTTATGGTTGGAATGCCCGACATCTTTCTTGAAAAGGGACGCCCATTGCTCCGTTTTCGTCCCCGTTCTTATTTTGATTGCTCATGTGTTCGCGCAGCGGCGCTCTGCAGCCTGCAGCGGCACCGGGTTCAGCCCTCAAAACGCGAGCAGGCACCGTCAGCCATATGGGAACATAAACCCCCAATGACCCGAATAGTTCCTGCCAGTTTGGGACGACCGGCCACAATAAAACAGAAATGCTGAGAGAGTTGCAGATAGGACGACGGACGAAGAGATAAACATATCAGGACAACAATGACAAGCCACCCTCAAAGCAGAACAGTCAGTCAGTCGTTTTTCACCAATGGACATCGCCCCTTTCAGTGTTCTTGTTTGCCTGGCCCCAATTGGCCCAATGCCACACATGTGCGTGTCCAACGCCCCTGCCCACCATGCCCCTGCCATCAGCGCCGCCGCCCTCGGAAAGAAACATCCGACTCGCCGACCTATTTTTTAGGCGGACGCCACGGCGTCACCCTGTCAGTGTGCAGCCATTTGGTTGCACGAGTCACGGGCCCCTTTAGGCCACCCCGGACGTTTTCCGATTGTGGCGACGCCCACCGTAGCTGTGTCATACCGTGTCCATGTCCTCACCGCACACTGCTGTGACCAGCGCGGTGCCATGGCAACAACCCCAAGACATGGCCTCCGCCGCCCTGCGCCACCGCTGGGGGTGCGTGCCCTCCCTCGCTGCACAGGGCAGCCTCGCCACCACGCTGTCTGAACTCCCCGAGCAGGGGGGCGGCGTGCCTCCCACGAAAGTGTCCCACCAAAGTGTCGCGCAAGATTATCCCACAAGATTGTCGCGCCAAAGGTTGGCGCCTGGCGCTAGAGTTTTAGAGTGTCCCACAAGAGGTTTCCACCGGACTGGGAGACGCAACGTGTGCTAGGCCACCTGGTGCTTTGCACAGGTTGACCCCGCACACTGCCCGAGTTTGGCGGAAGGAATTCCCACCAGAGTGTCCCACAAGAGCATTACCCACAAGAGTGTCCAACAAGAGTGTCCCACAAAAGTGCACTCAAAAGTGCGGCGCGAGAGGTCGCGAGAGTGTCCCACAAAAAGTCTTCCACAAGAAAGACTGGCACAAGAGTTTGCCACAAAAGTGTCCGACAGGTCCGACAAGGGTGTCCCACCAGAGTGTGTTTTCCAGACGCTCACGGCGGGCCGGCTCTTCCCAGGCGGCCCGGCCTCTGACCCGCCTTGCGTCACCGCTGGGTGAGCTTGCCCTCCCTTGCTGCGCAGCGCTGCCTGGCCACCGCACTGCCCGAGCTCCCTTTCGAACAGGGGCGGAGCGCCATGCCACAGCCGTTTTGGCAGAGCTGACTCAGGACGCGTGGTGGGGCTCCCCTGAGGCGCTTGCCTTGTAATTACATATCCCGCCGTGCAGCCCGTCGATCCTGCAAGTCCCACAAAAGTAAGAAAACTATATCTCCTACCAAAATGTTTTTCCCCACGCGCAGGCCTAGGCGGCAAAAAGAAATGTCCCACAAAACTGCCTCTTCCAAGAGCATTTGTTTTCTCAGTGCGTGTGTTGCATTCGGGGTCGTCGGTTCCACCTTGTAAACATGTGTAAACAATGTGTGGCTGGTTTGGAGGCGCGCGGCGAAAGGTAGCAACACCTCATCAATGCTTGGTGGCTCAAAGCTTCCGTCAAACGAGAAGATTAACAAAACACCATTAGTCTAGAATTGTCAAGGGGTACGAAATCTATGGAACGATTGTGTTTTGTTCAAATGGCTACATGTTTCTAAGGAAGGGTCTGGCACACAGAGCCCCGGCCTTGTTCCACGCATCCGCAGGCAGAAAATCGACCAACATTTTGCGCAACAAACCGTCAAGCCATGGTGGAAGCGTCCTCGTGCGACACGTCGAATTGGGTGCTAGAATACCGAGAGTTGTCTGGAAACCATGTCTTGCAAAATTTGTTTTGTTGTGAGCGTTTGATTTGTGAGACCACGGGGTCGCCACCGGATGCCACCAAACCGCCAGATGATGATTTGAACGTTGCGGAGGTTGAAATCAAAGAGCATTCGTTACCACAGCTATGGAAGGGAGCAGGTCCCATCCACAATGTATTATCTTTCACACTTCAGATGGGAACATTGTGGAAAAACATGAAGAGCACTGGAAACTAAAGCAAATAAAACAGTTCTTCCATGTTCTTCCATTTCATTTGGGATTTGATGGGATTGCAAAAATGGCAGCGGTTGGTTTCCGTACTGCTTGAAAAACAGGAGCGAGGGAAAAACACAAGTGCCACGAGAAGGAGACACAAAATACCGTGAATAAGCAAAGCAAAAGTGACAGGAAAGGGACAACCAAACAGAGAAGGACAAACGCGACCAAGGATAATAACGACCAACAAACAAACCCAAGGAACAAACAAAAACAAATTACAAGGAAAAAACAGGTATAGAACGATGAGGAACGTGACAGGTATATAAAGAACACAAACACACATGGAAAAATCCAAGACAAGGAACGGAACAAACATCACAACAAAAACAGTTAAAATAAGTTGCCTCCATAATGCCGCAGCAGATATCTCAAACGTTTTTTTTGATGTTGCATATGTTTTGAAATGTTTTGTCGATTCAGTGTGCTTTCAGCTGGCCATTTGGTCATAAATCGCGTTTTCCATTTGATTAATTGTGTTGGTATCATCACCAAAACTGGTCTGCACCATAACAATTGTTGCCACCAGAAACTCGGGCAGCCAGCAACAATTTGCAATATAGCACTACTCCGAATCTCCTTTCCTCGCTGGTTTGGTCAGTAGTTGACGATGGTTGAGGCCGGTTGAGGTCCGACGGATCCTCTTCCAGCAAGTTTTGGGTTCAGAGTCGGCATCGGCCTTTGAACCTGTTACGGGTCCCATGTTCGCCCGAGGATCGGATTCACCCTTTTCCACGACACCTGGAACACGACGAAGGGCGCTGGCACGCGATCCTTCCAGTGAGAACCTCTTCGTGGATATTGGGGCCAACCCTGAATGTCCGCAGAGCGACTCTTGGCGGTAAAGTCACAAGGTATTGTTGGCGTGGAGGTGCCCGCCTTCACCCGTGTCAAATATTGTACAGATCTAGCCAGGCAGTTGAAATTTTGATCCAATTGCTTTAACAAAAACAGTTGAATTTGTGAGTGTCTGCTGTTTCTCGGCTCGGTGTAGCTGCAAAAGCAACGTTTCACCCCCGAACCTTGTGCAAAAAAAAGGAATGAAAGCATACAGAACCCCGGGCCTAGAACCCCAGGCCAGTAGCGCAAACCATTATTCAATTTTGTGACTCGACCTTATCATCAGCATACGGCGAATTTAAGAAAGGCACTTCGCTGCTTCCGTCCTGCCATTCATGTCTCTTTGGTTCGCGGCGGCCTCTTTGGGTACTTGCGGGAATCTCGTGAAATGTGACCCTTGGGAGGTGCGTGAATATGAAGAACACAGCAAGGAGGGCGTACCTGTGGAGACTTTGCCGCTTTTGTGGCCTGGAACGAAGTGCGTGTGAGATGGTCAGGTTTTTAACTTATACAAGTGTGATAAGTGTGAGGACTATTCAAACTCGGCCACTTCGTACAGTTCCACCGCTGGGAGTATGGAGATTTTCTTACAAAAATAATGAGTTCATGCAGTATGCGCTTTATGGAGCCGTCAGGATAGGCATTGGCACGGAAGGGAAATAGCCGAGGGGACGGCCCGAAAATCGATCCTTCGACTAGCCATGATCAGCCCGCCAACTGAAAGGAACCGGAAGGAACAACGTTTTTTTTTTTTTTCCTTTCGGGGTCTTCCATGGCGGCTACTGCTCTTGAACTCACTGCGTCTTCCAGACTCCCGACCCCAAGCTAGGCCTGCACAGAGAGAGAGAGAGAGAGAGAGAGCGGGAGAGAGAGAGAGAGATAGAGATAGAGATAGAGAGACAAGAGAGACAAGAGAGACAAGACTGAGAGACAAGAGAGGGAAGAGAGGGAAGAGAGAGGAAAGAGAAGGAGAAGAAGGAGAAGAAGGAGAAGAAGGAGAAGAAGGAGAAG